AACAGCTTAAGAATGAAAAGCGCTAAGTCCATCTTGCCCCTGAAAGAGAATTCTAGTTGAGTAGTCTACTAAAAAAGAGAAAGACAATGTCTAACAGTACACTCTGAATGTAATTGTTTTTGTATGTACTGTATGTATTCTGTGTATGTTTATTAGTCTATGTCTCTGATGGATGACTGGCTTGAAGGCTGAAATTCGGACGGCTGGCAACAGTCCTACTGGAGACTGACTCAAAACACTTTCCTAGCACTGACTCTTTCTACAGCAATCAATGGCCTCCCCCAAATGATTCCTGAACAAACAGCACGGGACACGTCTCCATATGCTCCTGGAGTTTTGAGAAATAGCTGACCTATGCATGTTTTTGAGCCCTTAGACTGATATCTATGACATCCTAATTTAAAACTCTTTTGCACACACATGTATGTGTATGGAGCATCTTTAGGATGATCCTTATTGTGGAGTTGGTGTCAAGGAGCTGCTGCTTCCAACCCCTTCTCTCTCCATTTCTTCTGCTGCCATTCTTGTGTTGTTATTATTTGGCATTTTATTGTTGTGCTGGGGTACACTGCTGCATTTACAAAAGGGCTTACAATGTTACTTGGTTGAGCTCACCCCCTCCATCATTCTTTATCCCCCATAGTTTCAAAAGGCCTCATGGTTCCATTTTCACACATGAATACATAATATTCCATGCTGCCACTCTTAAGAAAACCAGTTTCTAAAGTTCTTATCTGAACCAGGTCTAACGAAAATGCAGGAATCAACAATTATCCTCTGCCTTAGGACTGAAGAAAAAGGATTTGTGGACAGTAACCTTAGTTTGTTTCATTCTCTTGTGCAGTGTAATTTGCATTCAACTCACTTTTATAATTAGCTCTATTAACAAATGTATAGAATCCAACCACAGTCCGCCATCTCCCACAGCTACCACCAGTCCAAGTCATGTCCTACTTGACATTTTTTGCCTGGATAATTGCAATAATGGTCACTTTGCTTCCATTTTTGTCTCTCTACAGTAGGCTTTCCATATGGCAGCTTGAGTGATGTATCTTATTAAAATATAAGTCAGATATTGGGCATGGTGGTGTGTGCTTGTAATCCTAGCACTTGGGAGGCCAAAGCTGAAGTACGAGTTTGAGGCCAGCCTGGGCTATGTAGCATGACCCTGTCTCAAAAAACAAATAATAAAATATAAGTTAGGTATCTCAATCTACTACAAACAATTTCCATTTCATCACAGTAAAAAGTCCAGTCCTCGCAATGCCCTACAAGGTTCCAGTTCATCTGTGTACAACCCTCCACAATTCTCTGACCTCATCTCCTACTATTCTCCTCCTTGCTCACTCCATTCTAGGTTCACTAGCAGGAAAAACTCTAACGAAGGCCACAAATTCTTCCCTTTCTACACTCACACCTTTGCAACATGGCACTGGAAATCTTCCCATCCTTTGAATCTGGGTTGTCAGGTGCCGTCCCTTGCCAGGGAGTATTACCATCATGAGTCAAGAGAGTCTTGACAAGTACTTGCATAGTGGGATTTGTTCTCTTTCTCCTCTTGGGAACCTTACCATGCCAAGTAAAGGAGGAGTTTTTTCATGACCCTGGAGAACTCTGCCAATTGACAAACGGACAGGCCATCACTACAGACTCCTAGACCATCCTGCTAGCAGATGGCTGGAGGCACACAGCAGATAGTAGCATAGTAGGCCTGACAAGAATATCTGCTCTGTTGCCCACCCCAACAATAATGTAAACAGATCACTGTTTTGAGTCACAAAGTTGTAGAATGGTTTGTTACATAGCAATAGGTAACACAGACATCTAGCTTCCTTATTCTTCCTTGCTGTAATTTCTACCTTCGCAATAGTTAGTTCTTTACCGGGAATGCTTGTTACACTATATTTAGGATTCATTTTCTTTTCCGTAGCTCTGATCTTTTCTTATTTTACTTGAGTATTATATTTGCTTATTATTTGCCTATTCCTGGTAGTATGTAAATTGCAAAAGGAAAAAGTTCTTTATGGTAAGTTGATGTACCCTGTGAATGGAGATCAGAACCCGGCACACAGTAAATCATCACTGAATGAGTACACACACTGTTCTACAAACACCCATTAAAGCAAGTGCGGAATCCCATCATTGACATCATCTGTTTCTTAGTCATTTTTGTTTACTGGGTTTACAGTTACTGAGAGTGAAATCCTCTATCTTTTTTGTTTGTTTATCTTTTGGAGGCAGCGTATCTCTATGTAGACAAGGCTCTATCTTCCTGCCTTAGCCTCCTGAGTGCTGGGACCACAGGCATGTTTACCACACCTAGCTGAGAACTGAAATCTTTTCTTTTTTTTTTTTTTGGCACTACTGGGGTTTAAACTCAGGGCCTCACATTTGTCAGGCAGGTACTCTCACCCTGAGCCACTCCCTCAGCCCTTTTCTGCTTTAGTTATTTTTCAAGTAGGGTTTTATGTTTTTGCCCAGGGCCATCCTCAGACTATGATCCTCCTATGTATGCTTCCTTGTAGCTGGAAGCACAGGCATGGTCACTACTCCAGTTTAATGACTGAGATGAGGTCTCACTAATTTTTTGCTGGGCTAGCCTCAAACTGGAATCCTCTCAATCTTGCATCCTGAGTAGCTGGGATTATTGTGTGAGCACCACATGGGGCTGAGCTGAAATCTTTACAATGGTTCTGGATTTGGCAGGCCTTGTATCTGTCAGTTTTCACTTTAACATTTGATGTTTTTATTATAAAATAATTTTAAAGGAAGTTTTAAAAATTGTTAAGAAAATATTCAACCATGATACTCTTTATTTTACATGTTCTAAATCAGAGTTTCACTTTAACTGTATGGTTATCAGTAATTAAAATATTATTTACCAATAATGATAAAATAATAACCAAGACTAATTTAGGACTGTTTGCTACATACACTACCCTAATACTGTCCTAATTCTAATGTCAATGCATAGGCAGCCTTTAAAAGTTTTCCTTCACTGAAAATGCAGGAATGACAGTGGACAGAAAGTGAGAGTTCACGTGTTAAATACAGCACATCTATGTAAGAGTATGCCATGCAACATTTAAGAACAATAGGACTATCCCCAGCACTGTACAAAAGTAATATTAATATACATATACCAAAAAGTAAAAAAAAATTAGGTTGTCAGTATTTATATGACTCCATTTTTACTAAGATACTTAAGTGTACACATAAACCTAAGTTATGCACTTAAAAAGTTAATACTAATTTCATCATGAGCTTTTCATTTTCTTCGTACTGTACAGTTGTCTAAGTATTGGTCTAGGTTTTATCCCAGGTTCCAGGGGTGAAGCTTCTAAACCTCAGGAATTTCCTAAGTGGCAAAACTATTTTTGCTATTCATGTCAAGTCCACACCTGAGCTTAATGGACTGATTCCTGGCAGGTCCCCATGAGCCTTCAGTATGGGGCAGGCCATGCTGGATAAACCAACCATGAGCCCTGAGGGTGGGACTGTGAACCATGCAACATGCACCTAACCTGACCTCCAGGGAGGGCAGGGTGTTAGAGACTGAGCCTAGCAACGTGGCTAGTGATTTAACAGACAATCAGGAGGGAGTATGCCCCAGTTCCACGGGCAGAAAACACAGAAACTCAGTATTTGGGAGGCTTCTTCTTTGGGCTGGTCCTGACTTATGTCCTCCAGACTGAAGTCACAATCACACTTCAGTACTTTCCCAAGTTCTGCAAGCCACTCTAAAGAACTGTTGCAGCCAGGCAGTCTGACTGAGGAAGCCTCGTTAGGGACTGACTGTGCCCTTAGCCTGTGCGGTCTATGTTACCTCTGAGCAGTCAGTGTGTGAGTTCATTGCCATCTGATATGCTTTCATACTACCTAGACTTTTAAAATAATGAGCTTCATGTGACTGTCATAATTTTACTCCCATCTTGAAAAAAGGAGGAATAAGATCTATAATTACATAAATGACTGGAATTTTAAGCTGGAAAATCTTAACACCCACAGAAATAAGGAAGATCAATAAGAGCTCATAGTAGAAAAGCCTAGGGAAAAGAAAATAAACCCATTTAAATTACTAAAAAGTTGATGAAGATAAGTCAAAATATAAAAAGCAGTACATAAAATATTTTGTGGGATAAAGTACGTGATAAGAGAATAACAACATAGCAAAGTTTACTTAACTACTTTTGTTATAGTTTAATGATATTTTTAAATAAATGTGTCATAGAGCAAAACCTTGTAAGACTACACTTCTGAATTTTAAGTACTGGGACTAAGGGAAATGATAATGAAAAGAATTCTGTCACATGCAGATTTGTCTGTGAAATCCACTAAAGGCAACGATGATTAAGCTTCTCCTGGACCACTACACACACAAACAGTATGCAGTTGGGAAAGTTTTAAATTCCTTACAGGTGGCTCACTGGAAATAGTTCTCCAAAGTTTGAATGTCATTGTCAAAGTCTCCCAGAACCACACAGCACACAGCACGGCAGCTCCCAGCCAGCCTTGTGACCGCAGGCAAACACCTATACTCCAGATGCGGTGTCTCAATAAACAAACTGACCCATGTTTAGCACAGCATTTTCAACTTAACGATGGGCAACTCCATCTTGAGCCAGGAGTATTTGTGAAGGCTGCATTCTTTCCCACCTCAGCTCCCCACTCCCTCTATGTGCCTGGAACCCATTTCTCAGGTCAGCTTAGGCAGAAGTCCAGAGAAAGATAGGAAGTGATCTACAAGTGTTGAAACATTTTTATAGCAGGTTGTTTTCTTTCATACCATTGGTTTTTCTATCATGACAGAGCCCTTTACTTACGTGTTAGAGCTGGGCCTGACTGACTGCCTTGATTTCAGGCCCTTCCAGCCCTAGATAATCAAACACACCAACATACTGCAAGAAGCTTACTAAAAGGGAGGGAAAAAGGATTGAAAAAATATGACATCATCGGTACCCCCGAATAAAAATAATAAAAAACCTCAATTTTGAAAATACCTAAGTTGTTTTCGGAGTTGCTCAATTTCCACATTTGTTCAGTTACTGCATCCAGAAAGTGTTGGTTAGTCTGCCACAAGAACAAAAACAACAGTATTCAGTATGAGGAAATTTAAAGATTAACCACAAGCATGTGCGTACAAGGAAATGAAGTGAGAGTCTCAGCAGTGATTATGTTCTCTGAGGATCAAAGGACAACCTGGCCTCTCTTCCTCACTTCATCATTGGAACCCTCCTTCATTCCAGACTACCTGAACCCGAATTTCTCTGGCTACCTGTGCAAAAAGCTGTAAGTGCTGTGGGATTATGCTCTGTCCTTCCAGTTACAACTGGTGGAACTGGTACACAAATAAGGCAAACACCTTTGTTCTGCAAGACTATTGGACCTCTCTTCATGGGATTAAATTTCAGCTATTGGGCTAATAGTCTTGATTTGTTTTGTTTTTTAGAAACAGGGTCTTGCTGTACAGCTCAGGCTGACTCTTGCCTCTGCCTCCCAAGACCTGGGATTACAGGAAATGTGACTACACACCTGATTAACTTGCTAGATTTTTCTTTGGGGTTTTATTTTGTTATTTTCATTAGTGTTGGGTCTGAATACCTAAGGCAGACAAGTAGCCCATCCCCCATGGAGAGCCCCACGAGCCCTGCACCCTGAGAAGGGAGTTATAAACCTGCACTCCTGTACCCTGAAGGAGATACAGGGTCCCACAAATCTGCCACAGGACTGATAAAAACAAATTCTCCCAGTGTTGTTTTCCCCCCAATAAGGGGCAAACAGACCAACTCATCTAAGGGGACGCCATGCAAATACATGCCCAATAGGAGAAACCCACCTAACTGATACCCTAACCCAGAGTTAAAGCCCCAGCCTTCACCTGAGCAGGGAGTTACCAGCTTCCGGGCCCCGCTGCGCTTCTCTAGCTGTAGCCTTTCCTTCCTCTCAATAAATCCTACTTTCTATACCGGCTTTGGCTCAGCATTCAGCTGCCTCATGAGCCAGTTCCCTGACCGTGAAGACAAGGACCCTTGACACCATCCTGCAACACGGCAACACCAGCACGTAACATTTGCATATATTAATTATACAAAATAATGGTACAACCTGACTTCTTCCTTTCCTCACTTTTCTTTCTTTCTCTTGCCTTATTGCTCTGGCTAAGAATCCAGGTACTATATTGAGTAAGAGTGGTGAGAGTGGACGCTCTGGACTTACTCCTGATTTTACAGGACATGAACGTTTCAGCTTATTCTGTATAGTACTGGCTCTCAATCCGTCACATAAGCCTTCTTTATGGTGAGGTATGATTTTCCTATCCTTAGTTTCTTCAGGGTTTTTACATGAAAAGATGCTCAATTTTGTCAGAGGCCTTTTCTGCATCTCCTGTTTTTTGTCCTTAATCCTATTTATATGCTCTGTTATGTTTATGGATATGTGTACACTGAACCATCCTTACATTTCTGGTATGCAAACAATTCGATCATGGTATAGAATCCTTTTAATACATTGCCGAATTCTGTCTACAAGTATTTCACTGAGGATTTCTGCATATGTTCCTCAAGGAAACCAGTGTTTAGTTTTCTTTTTTGGTGTTGTCATGTCCTTATTTGGTTTCTGGTCTAACACTGACCTTATAAAGTGAGTGTGGAAGGGTTCTGAGCATCAGTGGTGTCAGTTCTTTAAAGTCTGATAAAATCAGCAGTGGACCTGTCTGGTCCCACTGACAGGAGTCAGTGGGAGGTTTTTACTTTGTTCCCAATTACTTCAATGACTCACTAATCTTCTGAAGGTGTAATGATGTTCAACTGACATGAGTTTGTATATTTTTGCACTTTCTCTCATGTTGCTTCCTACTTTTGTCCATTATAATCTGATAAGAAACAGAAATGATCTTTTTCCCTACTTAAGACCTAAAAAGTGTTCTATAGATACATGGCTGCTGAGAAGAATGTGCACCCCACAGCTGTTGGATGGGTATTCTATAGACGTCTGTTAGGTCCATTTGACATGTGGAGCAATTTCACTCTTAAGTATTTTTGTGAACTTTTTGTATGGATTATCTACTTATGGGTGATAATGGGGGTTAAAATCTCCCACTAGTATTGTATCTGGAACTGTCTATGTTTAGTAGTGTCTATTTTATGAAATTGGGTGAACAAACATTTGGTGTATATATATTTACAATCATTGTATCTTGTTTGTTTGAGATAGGGTCTAACTGTGTGCCACAGGCTGGCCTAGAACTTGTTATAGAGCCCAGGTTGGACTCTGAACTAATGCTCCTCGAGCCTCAGCTGGAGATTACTGGCATGAGCCATCACACCAGCTTTGAGAACATGCTAACGAGAGTTATTTATATATCCTCCATCAGGTAAATTGTAACTTCTTTGCACTAGGGCTAATTCCTAGAGATTAATATGATTCCTTTGTTTGAAAGCTCTTTGGCTGGTTCTTCATTTTCCTATAACTCTCTTTTGGTATCTATGCATTAGCCGAGGCAGGTATCCCTCCCAGTCTTCACAGACTGGTCTCCTACATTCCCCCCAATTGGCCAGCCAATGATTTTGAGGATTGCTACCAACTCTACTCTACTTCTTAGGAGAGGTGCCAGCCATGGTTTGTGACCACTTGTTCTGCACTGAACTGGGGACAGGAAGCTGTGGCATATATCAGTCTAAGCCACCATCTTCCTTCCCACTTGCTGGCTAGACTGTGCTAAACAAACAGAATATCAAGACTGGCGAAGGCAGCTAAATTTTCTTGAAAACTTCTGAGAAGCTGGGGTGCTGGACACACAGATCAACTCTTTCCCTCTCTAGGTGAAGCTGGGAGTTGATTTTTCTTTCTCTTCCTATGTATCGAGTTTAGCAAAGGATTCCTGACATCTGCTATCTAAGCCAGTACCTCCATTCTCCCAGGGGCAGCTAGACTGAGCTTGATGTGTCAGAGTTTCCAGACTAGGATGTCACAAGCCAGCCTCTGGAGAGCCCCTTCACAGCAGCCCATTGCATCCTCTGGGTGAAGCTGGGACTCAGGGAACCCTTTTCATCCTAAGTGCTGCAGTGGAATGGAATCTCCAGTGAGACGCTGCCCCAATTACTCCTCTGGCTTCAGTGAGGCTGGTGTCTCATTCTTCTCAGATGCAGGGACTTCTCAATTAGCTTCTGATTTCTCATGAAAGGACTCATCCATGAGTTGTTGCTTAATCAGTGTGTTTGTGGGGAGAAGGGAACCATTCTTCCTAATCTGCCATCTTATTCAAGTCACACTAAAATCTATTTTCCTTACTCATCTCATGGTCATTACTTTACTGTACACACATAGAAATCTGCTCACCTGATAAGTTTACTCACGGAATCAGAAGCCCATCAATGGAAACCTCTTGCATCTTAAGTCTGAACTTGACCCAACAAGCTCCCAGCCTGTACTCTGGGTGCAATCTAGGTGCACGGAGCTTCGCAATCACTTAGGCTGTTCCCTTACACTGAGTCTCTGTTGATAACTATTTTCTCTTCCTCTAGCCACATGGACAGTCTTTGCTTTGACTTTTTGGTTTTGGCAGTGGGGACTGAACCAGGCCTTGTACATGCAAAGCAAGAGCTCTATCACTGAGCTCCACAAGCAGTCATTCTCTGCTTTCTATAACATTTGTCATTCACTGTGCCACTCAGTCATCGTCTTTGCTTCTTACTCTTAGCTTTAGCCTGCCACTATGAACTCTTCTTAGAATTCTGAAATTTGAAATGTATGCCCTGTGAATATTCAAACATCCTTTTCCCATGATTTTCATTGACATCATTTGTGAATGTTAATAATAAAATAGGGTGTCTGTAGTATGACACCAAGGGTTATATAATTCACACAGTTATAAGAGATGTACTGAGAGAAATCATAGGTAACTGTGATATTAGGTTAAACTATTCATTCCATGTAGAAATTTATTATTAAAAATACCATTCTTAATTACAGAAATCAGTAGTCACTTTGTTCTGGAGCACTTTACTAGTATTTTAAAACTCTTTTTAAGAAGTACATTGTCAAAAACTGTAAGTGAAAGTGATTAGAAATTCCAAATGTTAACAGAGAGACATTTAATATTTTTATATGTGCTCAAAGGAGAAAAAAAATTAGATAACTTACTTTTGATGACACAACTCCACTGTTAAACAAATACATTTTTTTAGGAACTAGTAAGAGTTAGCAGAGTAACTAAGTGAGAATGAAGAATGGTGAGGGGTGTCACAATCCTACTACTCAACAAAGAGTAAAACCAAAATTCCAACAATGTAAAGAAGACAAAAGGAAAGTGATTTAAAAAGGTCAAAATAGAGCTGGAAGGGCTAACTGTATTTGTGTTTAGAAGTTATAGGGAAAACTGAGATGTCAAATGCAGTACTCAACAAACTGGCCCTTAGTTTCCTAATAATTTTTAGAAGATAAGCAATTCATTCAGTCCATAAAGAGTTCCACTCCTTTTATCATACACGTGGCTGAGTGCTAGACCACACAAAAAACAGGTGTGGGCTCCACTCCGGAGCTCAAGGTCTAGCTTACTCTTGGGTCTTGGTAGGGTTGTAAAGGGTTTTCGCATTAGGTGTACTTCAGATATATGTTGGTTAGATCTCAAAATGGTACTGTGAACTATTTCATGTTACTGGATGTGTAAGAAGAAGATAAGAGACAGAGAACTGCTTACATATTTTAATTTCATACAACATGCTTTGCTATTGTTGATTTAAATTAGTATAAATAAATATTTGTAGTGACAACTTCTAGTTTATATAAATGACTGGAGTAAATGGTTATTTTCTCTTCCTATTTCTGTGTTCTCATTAGTAACATGCAGTTTCTTCATCACTTGTTGAAAACTGTTCAGCTGATCCTAGTGGGAAAGTAGGAGTAGTATATGGACTACATTAACAGTGCTTGGTTTGCAACCCATATTGAAAGTCTAAAATCATTGTGTCTAAGTTTAGATACCACCAGCCACATTTCTTCTATGGTGTGAACTGACAGTCAAAGAAATAAGTAAACATTTTTAAATGATTGCAAAATTAAATGAGACAATGTTGACACTAATATAGATATTGTTTATGTAAAATCACAATTTATAGAACTCATTCTATTAGGAAATACTATTTTTAAACTCAAAGACAAATATTATAAAAATTATGATTGACAATTTGAAATGCTACAGAGACCTTGTCTAGTATTAGAAAACCACATCCAAACCTATTTAAAACATACAAAATAAACTGGCACAGAGTTACTAACCAACTTTTTAAAGAATTCTTATGCCCCACAAGATTAAAATTTTTTAATTAGCTGTTGTGATCCTATGAAACATTATTTGTGCAAATAACACAAAGTTGTGAGAGGCTGTTAATATGTTGGATAACATAATGAAAGAATGGGAAATAATGATGAGGTCTTGTTTGTAAAATCATATATCTAACGGCATAGCCACAGTACAAGAATGGTCATATTCATGTGAAAAAAAAAAAAAAAGTAAAAAATGAAAAATGAAAGAACTCATGGGTTTGGTTGATTGAGCTAAAGGAGGAAACACCCTGAAGAAATTACTTTCCTTAAAAATATTTTCTGTGTCTCAGAGGTAAAAGTTCTGTCATCAGCTCGCATGGGAGTGGTATCAAACCAGGGCATGCATAGAAAAATAGTTATGTAAACTATAAAGCACCATTCATGAATCTTCCTCACTTCCTCAGGTAGGGCTAATAACAGGACTACTCATAACTGGAACTTGAAGTCTATTAATGAGAACGAAAGATAGTTATGATAAAAGGCTCAAGTGAATAGCTAAGATACACAGAGAAGGGGTCAGAATGAGAATGTGTCCATAGAAATCAAGGCACTTAGCAGTGAAAGAACCAACAGAAGAATAAAGACCACAACTTTCTCAATGGAAGGGATATTTTCTGAGGCAAGAAGTTCTTGTTAATAGAAGTGTAAAGCAAAAGCTAGGTAGGTGTTCACTTTGAAAGAATGTAAAAGGACTCTCACTTTGGATAGAAAGATGTCATCCATAACCTTTCAGAGCCCTTCCAATGGTAATATTCTACTGTAATTAATTTACACTAGACAAACTGGACATCTATTTTATTAATAGGCCACATGTAAGAACACAAACATTTTATTTTCAACATGTTGTCACTGTATTTCAGCAAGTTTATTCACTGCCATAATTTGCTGAATAGTTTGGTTTCAAAACAGGTAGGAAAATCAGTCAAACAAAAGTACAGAGGTCCATTTATGCAAAATTGTCCCACTGCTTTTCACAGAATGAAATCCAACAGTTCCTGCTACCCCACTGTAAGTGAAATGTGCACTAGTGGTCTCACCTGTTTGAGAGATTTCTGCGTACCTGAGATCTACTGACTATTAACTTTAAAACCACAATAATCTTAGGCATTTCTCCTAAAGAAGAAGCAGCTTCTTCGGAATGTAGTACTTACTGATGTACAACAAAATCTTCAACTCAAGATTACCTTTTGCTTCTGGCTTTCAGCTATGTGGATGTAGGCCTTGGTCGTCTGCTCCTGGTGACGTCTCTGCAGGGCACTGAACTCCCGAGAAACTGTCTGCCAGAGTTCCACAGCCCAAGCTTTCTCCTACCAAACAAGAACACTGGCTGAGGCGCTACTCAACACATAAAGCAAACAGATCACATTCCTTTATGAAAGAATTACAAAGTAAATACTGAGCTAATGCAATCGTGGTACATGATGGGAATACGTCCTGAGCAATTTCTCACAGCTACATCATCACCAGCGACATGGTTGCCACATGTCCAGTCTTCACTGACTACAAAAGTTATATTAGTAACAACTTAGATAATAAATCCAAAGAAAATTTTCTTACTTTGAAATTGTCTTTTTACTTAGATTTCACAGTTAAAATTAAGAGCAGACTCATCAGAGACACAGATCAAAATACTCTACTTGTTCCACAAAAAAGTACAAGCATTAGAAATAGTCCTCCTGGAAAAGTATGGTATTTTTTCCTGATTGTAAAAGTATTAAGTGCTCATTGTAGAAAATTAGGAAAAATATAGAAAAACAGAGGAGAAAATAAGAACCACTTATAATTTTAGCACCTGATAATAAATATTGCTACTACATGGTATAACCATAAAGATTGATTCTGTTCGTGTTTATAAATTTTTGTAGGTGTGATTCTGGGGTAGAATATAATTTTTTTCCTCTTAACAAACTAGGAGTCATGTAATGTACTGCTTATACTTGACATTCTATGAGGAGACTCTTCTCAAGTCATACACTATTTTCTCAACAGCATTATTGAAGTGTGGTATGGGAACTCTTGGTGTTCCCAGGGATCTCGGAAGACCTTTAGGGCGCAGTTTTCATAATAACACCAAGATGCTGTTCGCCTTTTGTCCTCTCAGAGTGGAATTTTCTAAAGTTGATAGGATGTGATGTCATCATTGTTGAGAGTTAATGGACTATGTGCAAATGTTACTATGTGTTGTATTAAAAACAAAAAAGAGCCTGGGGCTGGAGGCACAGCTTAAGCAGTAGAGTGCGTGCCTTGCAAGTGCAAAGCCCAGAGTTCAAACCCCAGTACTGCCCCCACCAAGAGTCTCTGTTAATTTGTAATATTATAAATATTGAGATGCACAACCTGTCATAAAAAGCTTTGGGGTCCTAAAATTTTTTTTAAGTGTCCTGAAACCAGTGAGGCAGCTAATCCACCTATTTATAGTTTTGTAAGACGTGTACTCAAATGATACCCTTTTAGATGAGTACATATGTAGAATAAAACTTACTGAAGTATATAACTTATTCAGAAAGCACACATATCACGCATTTTTATGAGGTGGAAGACTCACGTGACCAGCATGTACTATGAGAGAGAGCATTATTACCATCACCAAGAAGGATGCGCCTCTTGTGGCCTTTTGTAATTAGGCTCCCAACCCCCAACAACCACCATCTTGGAACCTTCTTCATAGGTTAGTTCTGCCTAAAACTTACAGAGAATGTGGAGCTTCATTTTCTCAATGACTGGGGTCCTAAAACTTTCTTCAGAAGTCCCCACAGTCCCCTAGACCCACATGATGATAAGAACCACTGGAACCAGGAGTTACAAACTCTTTCTTTACAGCAGTGGTCCCCAAAGGACCAGCACCACCAATGTCATCTCATAATGGTCAGACATTATTGTTTTATGGATTTCTTAATATTTCAGAAATAATTAGAAAAGTGTGTTGCACCATAGCTTTAAAAGATGCTATCTGGTCAGAAGGCATTTATAAGTCTAAATTAATTTCCAATCACTTAGAATAAGCAACATAATCCCTCTTAGTACAGAAAGAAGAGCATTGCTTTCCTCAATTACACCTCTGAAGAAGTTCAATATTTAACACGTGTTCCTTATTGAGAGGGACACAGCCTTTCTGACTTACCAAAATATCACTTTCAAAAGAATTCCAAACCAAACTAACAAAGAATAAAGCTGGAACTTTTCACAGATAATTGTAAAACCAGCATTGTAATCCACCATCTCTAGCCCTATTTATAAATGAGGAACAGAGGCACAAAGATTTTTTTCCCATAGTCACAAAGCTAGAAAACAGAAGGATAGACGGAGACTCAAACCCATACAAAATATGAGATACATGGGATATAAAACTGCAATGCAAAATAAAATTCCCTGTGTGTAAACACACACACACACACACACAGTCACAGTCACAGCACTGAATAAAGAACATACATGGAGATACAGGACACACAGAACACGGCTTCCTGAAGACTCTGGTCACTATGAGTGAAGGAAAAAAGAGAAGAATCATTTTAGAAATAAAACTTTAAAAAAATATAATATTATAACCTTTGAAAGTTGAGGAAAAGAGTGTCAGAAGAAAACATAAAAAAATGAAAAAACAAAAATTAAGGAAGTGATCACTGATGATTTTTTTCTTTAAAAACTCCTTTGACATTAAAATATTCTTAAAGGACGAACGTCATCAGCAACTGTGCTTCACTTGAGACTTTTGTGGCAGCTGTTTAAGGACAATGATTCTTGTACCTCTCAGAAAATGGAGTGCTGATGACCCTCTTACTCTTAACAGCTTCCAAACCTTACACGACACTTCACTTCGTTGGCGATGTGCAGCTGCTCCCGGAGGTTCTTGATGGTCTCCTGGTCTGCGCACAGCTCGCCGCACAGCTCCGAGCCCAAGGGCAAAGTGTCCAGCTGCTTCTCAATGGCATCTTTCAGCTCCCCATGCAGCCTGGGTGACAGCAGTTAAGGAAACAGTAATTTAAACAGTAACCACAGTATGGTTTGGGAGTCAATTAAATAAACACTGGAATCAGAAATAGTGCTTTACATAAAATGATTTCTAAGTAAATGTCAAAAAAAAATGAATGTGCTATGTGAATAAAAAGAACAACCATGAATGCATTTGTTATTTGATAGTAATTGTTATTTATTATTCGATAATAATTCATTCAAGCAAAGTTAGTTTGTCCTAGACAGAATTTAACTTTTCAGACAGGTAAAATCACAGCTGGGCTCAGTGAAAAAGCACGCATGACCAGGAATGCAGCCATCAATATACACAAATCCTTTCTAATAGGACAAGGCAAGACAAAACAACATAAAAAACCCCAGAGCCTTCATTCAACCCAAGGAGCTTCAGAATCTCTTAGGGAGACAAACTGATATGTGATGCAGCAGAAAACTGTGCCTAGCTGGGCTCTGTGGCTCACAGCTGTAATCCTAGCTATACAGGCGTGGAGACTGGAGAAGGTGGAGAGACTCCATCTCAGCCTGTGACAGCTGGGCACAGTGACTCACACCTGTTATCCCAGCTGACCGGGAGGTATAGATCAGGAAGACCATGGTGAGCCAGTCCAGGGAAAAAGTCTGAGCGATCCCAACTCAACCAAAAGCAGGACACGGTCGCACACACCTGTTATCTCAGATGTGTAGAAAGCACAAACAAGAAGATTGTAGTCCAGGCTGACTGGGCATAAGAGCAAGACCCTATTAACAAAAATGCCTAAAAGCAAAGAGAGCTGGGAATGGATCAAGTGGTAGAGTGCCTGTGTGGCAAGTGGCAGACCTTGAGTTCAAACCTCAGTACTGCAAAAAAAAAAAAAAAAAAAATCCCAATGTGACGCCATATTGAGTAATAAAAACATGTCATTCATAAAAAGTAAATGCTAACAGTTTCATCCACTCAATTTAATAAGAATAGCACCTTATATTTAGTAGCACTACCTGTCATCTTCTCCAGTGTTCCACACCTTACTTCAATTCTGAGTAGTTTCAAGTAAGCAGAGAAGAACAAAGCTGTCGCTGGTTATGAAACCAAGACTATTAGAAATTCCTTCTTCAGGACAGCTCCACAAAAGTCTGACCATAATATTTGGAAAGCCTTTAATCTTAACATTCAAGCAAACTACAGATATTTCAGTTTAAGACAAGTGCCGCCTCCCCTCTCCAAACAGGATGGTACAACCTGAAAGAAGATGTGTAGAACTGAAACACTTCCAGTCACCTAAAACATCCAGAGGAGCACTGTCTACTGATATGGTAAATCCTCCTTGGATTAGAAAAATTCAACCTCGATTTTCAGAACACACCTATAAAAAACAGTTTATCAAATACAACAAACTAAGGAAGTAACTACTCTAGAAATGAGAAAACACCTCTCTCTAGTAAAGAACAGAGCTTGTTAATTATTTTCTAATTAAAAATAGAAGTGTCTTTTAATTTATTTTTATTATTTTAATTTCTATTTTATAGGTGGTACTGGGATTGAACTCAGGGCCACAGGCTTCCTAGGCTGGTGCTCTACCACGTGAGCCATGCTCCAGACTTTTAAAAGTTATTTTTCCCCTAGGGCTGGCCTTGAACTGACCCTTCCCACTTATACCTCCTGAGTAGCTGGGATTATAGCAATATACCACCAGGTCCAGTTTGTTTGTTCAGAATGGTGTCTTGCTAATTTTTGCCCAGGCTGGCCCTGAACTGTGATCCTCTGATCGCTATGTTTGGAGCAGCTGGGAAACAGGCCTGCCACTGTGCCCAGGTGTTTTTATTTTTAAGCATCTAACAGTACTTTAAAATGTTTACATTTCTGACCAATTCAGAAATCCAGCAATATTAAAGAAAGGCCAAGTCCCAGAGAGAAATTAGTGTGGTGATGTATTTTCTGGCAGAATTGTTAACTCTGCACTAAAGTGACACATCTGTCACAGTGCTGCTGTGATACCATGAGCCCTTAACTACGGTATGAAAGCAGGTATGTCCTCTATTATAGTTCTCTGTGAACACTTTAATGACACGCACTTACGTGCATCATAACCTATCCACTCTCTAATCATTTAAAATCAATAGCAAACTGAATTGGGAAGCACACCGTTACTTAAAACATTTAGACATTGAGAATTAAGGAATTGTTCCCAAGGTCATTACTAAGGTGAACCTCCAGTTTCACAGTTTCAGCTGTGGCGGTGCCTTGTGGTCCTGCCCTGTGGTAGAGCCCAGGACAACGCACAGGCCACCTGAAGCCCTGGAGTTGGGGGTTGGAGTGCTGTCTCCATGGACATGCTGACTGTCCAATATGCACTCATTTCCATGACCCAAAATTTGGGGTTCAGTGTGCTGTTAAGAGTGTCACCAATAACTTTCTTTTCCTTTCAGTGCTGGGGATGAAGCCAGGTCTACAGGAATGCTAGGCAAGCACTCTACTATCAGTCATACGCTGGCTCTAGACTTCCTTTAAACATGCACACTTAGGGTTATAGACTGCCTTCTCAGAATGGCTTTAGTTGCAGCCCACAAGTTTCAGTGTTATTTTCATTATCAGCCAGTTAAAATATTTCTTTTCTCATCTTTTTTTGTTTTTTTGGCTATACTGGGGTTTGAACTCAGGGCCTTACACTTGCTAGACAGGTGCTCTACCACTTGAGCCACTCTACCAGCCCTGTTTTGTGTGGGTATTTTTTAGATAGAGTCTTGCAAACTATTTGCCTGTGCTGGCCTCAAACTTTAATCCTCCTGATCTCTGTCTCCAGAGTAACTAAGACTACAGGTGTGCACGCCACTGGGCTAGTTAAAATATTTTCTAATTGTGAATCCTTTCACTTCTGAGCAGTTTAGAAGCACACTACTTCCTTTAGAAACAGCTGGGAATTTCTGTGACCTTTTCTGTTACTGATTTCTACCATAATTTACACTAATTAAAGAACATAACCTGAATAAATTCAATCCTTTAAAATTGCTGAGAGATGCTGTCTTAAATTGGTCAATTTTGGAAATATTTCATGTGTAATTAAAAAGAAGGTGCATCATGAAGCTGTTGGGTATTAGTGTTCTAAATATATGCCTTAAGTACATTTGTTAACTGCACTGTTCAAATATTACACAGACTTTTTTTTTCCGGTCATTACTTCAATTACTCAAGAGCAACTTGCTCATTTTTCTTACCACCATTGTAGGCATGTCCATTTTGATAGCCGCTCAGTGATGTCACATCTTTCTATCTTGAGGTTTAGTTATTGCATGTTTATAAGTTGAGAATTGTCATTTTTAGGGCAAACTGAATTTTTAATCATTATGAAATATCCCTTTCTATTTCTAACCTGGTTATGATGTATGGTGTTCTGCACTAAACTCTTACTATGTCTGACATTACCAATTTTCTTTTGGTTTATATCTATTTTAGATCCTTTCATTTTCACTCATTCTATATTCTTATATTTTAGGAATCTCTAGTTAGAAGTACATAACTGGAATCTCTTTCATACAATTTTCTCTTAATAAATCATTATTGTAGCATGTATTACATCAAAATTTAATGCAATTAAGTAATGCATTTGGGATTCTATCCACTGTATTTGCTTTCTGCTTGCCCTGGCTTTTCCACCTTTTCTTCCTTTCTTTAAATAACTTCTGCGTCGTTCTACTTCCCACCCCATCAGCTTGGCTGTGGCATATCTTACTGCCGGAGCCCACCCCGAGATCACCGGACTGCAATGTCAGAATTGGGAGTATCAGACCTGCCATGGACATTTTTCTGAATTGGTGATATTGCTGGCTTGTGTTTTAATACCCGAGAGACATTATTACTGTTGTTTAGAACAGTAGATGGTCACCAGATGCTCTGCTGTATTTACCCTGTAGTTCCAAGCTGGAGCCAGCGATTCTTTTCCCTCTGTTTTTAGGAAGACCACTTTGGGATTTGTATTAATATTCCAAAGATAACCTTTTCAGTTCCTTTCATCTGAAGATATACATCAGACACTCCTTCTGAGGGTTACTGCACTGGACATAGAGTCTAAGCTGACAGTTCCCCAGCACTCTGAAGAGATCCCATCATTTCTATTGAGAGGTCATTCATTTACTGGTGCTCCTTTGCGGATAATCTGTCCTGAGCATCTCTGTGGTTCTGTATTTGATCTCTAATTAGGCAACCAGAGATGGTGCTTGGTATTATCTTGCTGATGCTCAGTTCTTTCTTCAACCTGTGGATCTTTTGTCAGTCTTGAAAAATTCTCAGTCCTTACCCCTTCAAATACTACTTCTATCTTACTCTGTTTTGTGTGGGAATGAAATCACAGTTACCCTTAAACAACCTAGGAATATGAGATTCAACCCCAAAGAGCTGAAAATCTTAAGTAAAAGCCTTCTGTTGATACCTATTGAAACACAGACACTTGGTGAACTCACATTTTGTATACTGCATATATTATATACAGTGCAGCATTCATGAAAACCACGAGCAGTCATTTTACTGCAAAAGGCAACTTACTGGAGAGACCAACAGTATGAACCACATGGTGCTGACATGCACCAGGACCCATACCACACAGTGGATGGTAACCACATAAATCACTCTAGTGTTAGCTGCAGTGTGGCCTGAGCTCAGATGCTGCTGGCTTGAGTATCAATGCCATGTGGTGTGGTTTTAACTTTCTGTGATGGATTTGTGTGTATTTATGTAGTAAATGGCAACACAGACTACTTTTATATATTTTTATGCGTTTGTGACATACATTTTTTGATATACATATATTTCTAGGCTATGTAGTTTGTGAGTTATTTAAAACTGTTGGAAATCTCAGAAAAGGAAAATAAATCTTCTATAAGTAGATTCATATGGTTCAAACTCACATTGTTCAGGCAACTATGTAGTTTTGGCTCTTCTCTCCCCTTTTCACTCTGATTTTGTTGCATACTGTTGATTCTCTCTTTAGTTATGTCTCACTCCTGTCAATACATTGTTTTTAATTCTAGTTGTTTTATCAAAACTTTCAGCATTGGATCTTACTTCCTAGAACTGTCAAGCATAGCTGTACTAAAGGTCAATCTGTGGTCTCATGACTTGAACACTAGAGGCTATTTCCAGTCTTCAGCCACTTGTTCTTTTTATGCCATAGGTGAGCTCTTCCCAGAGATGAAAGCAGAGTGTATTCTGAGGCCTAGTAACGATGTTAGACTTTTCTAAATGGTCCTCTTTCTCTCTTTCTGGTGGCTCTGGCTCCCCTCTCATTTTTACTGTAGTTGTCTTCAGCCCAACTGCATCACAGTGAAATAAGAACAGATTTTAAAGACTGCCTGAAAAAGACCTGAATGTCTTCTGAAACCATAAAATATCTTATCTCCTGGTACACTAAAATCCAAGCTTGCTCTTAATGTACTGGTGACTCAGGAATTCATAGCATTTTTTACTAGGAAGTCTAATAATTATTTTGAGAAAGAACAGTAAGCCATAAAAAAATTAAGGCTAGAAAATCTTCCTTCCTCATGGTGGGTGGAGGGAAGACACGAATGAAAAAAGAAATAATTCAAAGATTTACTTAATTTTGCACTTACCAAACATCAGTAGCCTAAATGTATGAAGTTAACAGATATTGGAAGGGAAGAGAACTAGTAAAAAGGTTAAAACTTGCTTTTAAAGTGAGGGGATAGTACTAGGATGTAAGGTTGCTCAAAATGCAGTATTTGCATGTTTGACAGTACCACAGTGAAACCCTTTGGTACAATTAGTCTAAGCTAACAAAGAGAGAGAGAAAATGACATAAAGGCAAGACTCCACAGGAGTGCTATATAATTGTACAGACCAGTATGTATTAATTTAAATATAGCTACACTATAATAAACATAATAAAATAAAATGCAAGCTACTACGTAACATAGAGGAGCAAACTAAATGGTCACCATTACACAGAGTTTGGACAATGTAGGCCCTGGGGTTGTAGCTCAGAGGAAGTGACCTGCCAGCATCTGCAAGGTCCGGGGTTCATCCACACAACCAGAAAACAAAAACAATGTGAGTTACAGTAAACACAAAACAAAGAACCCACTTAGCAGCCAAAATGACAAAACTAGGAAGCCTGGTAAGAGCTAGTGCTGGTAAAAGCAATGAACTCTTGAATGTCGCTGGTAAGAGTGTCAACTAGTACAGCCACCCTGGAGTTTAAGATGACATTTTATTGCAAAGTTGAACACTCAGGTAACCTAGGACCCTGCAATTTCATCCCTTGAAATTTTGTACCTATGCATAATATTCAGTAAAAAGTCTCAGAATACTAGACGATATGATTTTTATGTAGCTTTTAAAAATGAAAAACTACGCAATATATCATCTAAAGATGCACATACTTATAAATTTAAAAGCAAGTGTGTTATGAACACGGGATTGAGGAGTGCTCACCTTTGGCAGATGGAAGAGGATGTGAGCGGGAGGAGTACAGGATAGATGGACCAGGCCTGTGACTCTGCAGTGTTTCATCTGGTGGGAGGCTGTCAGATTCCATCTGCCCTGATGTTCCCTAACATCTAATATGCACGGTCAGTCCTATGCTATGACAAAGGCTCTGACATCATCTCAAGCTCACAGAGCAGGAGATGAAAGAAGAAAGAAGCTTCATGACTTCTTTCCAGGAGTCAAACAGAATGAACATCAGGCCCCAGAGTCCACACTCGTGCCAGTACACTGTATGTATCAACAAAACAAAAGTTACCTGAAACCACAAGAAAGGAAAGAACCAATCTCTATCTGATTTACCTTTCATTTTCCTTGATGACATTTTCAAGCTGTAATTTCATCTCACCCATCCGTTGCTGAAAGAATAAAATTCAGTACTAGCAACACATTTTCAACAAGATTAGATCTGCATTAAATATCCCTTTGTACACAAGCAGTCAGACTTTACAACATTAATCTATGGATAAGAAAGACTTATTTATTACTCCAAATAAGCAATGTTAAATATGGTAAGTTTAATAATACATGGGACACAGCAAAATGTTCATTTTAAATAGACTACGCATAAAATAAAAAATGTTGTATGTAAAACAGTGAGAACTATTTATAAAAATAATTCCTATGATATGTAGCTAGACAAGCAAATGAAAGCTATACCTCGGCATATTATAACAAACACCAGGTGATTCCTGTATCTTGAATGAGTATCTTAACCTCAAGTTAGGTGAAGCCCCTAATAAGTGTGTGCATTTTTCCAGGACTTTATAGGCAAAATGTTAATGGAGAGAGAGAGAGAGATGTCTTCTTCAGCAGTCATTCACACTTGGTCTTCTGTTCACCTTTACTGACCATCTACTACACTCTGTACTGTAGAGGGCTGTGATGGCAGACAGCCATGGTCAGTGACATACTTGGCACAGTGACTAAAACATGATAGAGTACAGTGCCCACTGAGAGGGAATGAGATGAAGGCTTCATTAGGTTTCCTTTAAGGAAATATAGGGATTACTGGGACTTCAAAAGGAAAAAGAACATGTCAAGCAAGGAGAAATACAAATAAAAGAAAAGGCAAAAAATAAGCAGTCTGTTCTCAACAAGGTAGGTGGGTGAGTGGGAACAAGAAGGAGGTCATGAGAAATTACACTTAGAACAAGAGAGCAGTCAGCTCCTAACACTACTTGCCTGGAGGAGCCTTGGCAAGGGAGGCATGAGCAGGCAGTTCTCCAGGTCTTTCCTACCTTTCAACCAGAGCACACACAGGCTGGCCTAGCAAATGAGTAACAGCCAGTTCCCACCACACAGCTGTCATCAAAGTGGAATTCTTCCCAGGGCTCTACTATGCCTGAATCACAACCAAATCAGAATGAATTAATCTGCGCCCAGACAACTGGGCACTAACCATCCATGACACGGTGGTACTGGAGGCAATGTCAGAAAAGGTAGCTGGGGGATCCTGAATGCCTGAGTGCTGAGGTGGTGCATATTATTGCTGCAATTATCCACATTTTCTAATTTTTTTAAAAATTTATTTTTAAAAATTATAAAAATGTCAGTGAATCTTGAAAAATATTTTTACTGTCAAATAATTATATAGGATATATATGCATTAGTAAAATTAGGATTGTAACAGTCACATTAAAATTATTTACTATAAAATATTTCAAATGTGGATATCTGGAAGGAAATGAAACTTCTGCTTTGCCCTGCTTTTTACATTTTTTGGCAGAAAGTCTTTCATATAGAGAATTGCAGCAATAATTTTCCTGCTTTGAAGATAGTCTATTTTTTTTATCAAGTCAATAAATCGTAACAATTCTACTAATTAATATTTGTAGAGCAACTATTCTTGGAAGTAGGTATCAACATCTTTTTTTCCTCTCTAAAAAGTAACAACTCTTCTTATCATTGAAGACTCTTGAGCTTTCTATGGTAGCTTCTTCTCATAAGTAACTCAGCAATCACCCTGAGGTGATAAGAATGCCAAATGGAAAGAGAATTTAATCACCTTAGAAAAACAGCTGATTAAAGATATACACGAATGAGAATATAAAATGTTTATAAGAGTTTAATTTCAAGGTACCTAGCTATTCTATGTGACAACAATCAAAATACGTCATTACAGAAATTCAGAGAAAATGAATTCGCTGCAACTTTAGAATTATCAGTTAAAAAAGATGCAAAGACATTATTGTGGTTTACTTAAATTTAAATGGCCGTAGGCCAAAAAGTCCATAGTAGACAGTTAAGGTGAATATTAAGGGCAGCCATGTTAGGACCAGACCCCCCACCCTCCTGCAGATGGCTTGCTGGAAACTCCCCACCCAACCTCAAAAGATTGACAGCTATTAACCTTTATCTCCAGGTGAGCGCCATGGACAGGCAGATGAGCAGAGAGTGACCTAACCACAACTTACCTATCTCCTTTGGTTCCTAGTAACACCATTCTTTAGTGACCCAAAGAACATCTTCCCATCCAGTGACCTTCCTGGTACTTTTCCACCAGCTTCCCTACATCTACCCCAAGCCTGTGCGTGGCAGTGGGCTCTGGCTCTCTTGCTGGAGACTCTTTCCCGTATAAAGCCTGTGCTGATGGTGAGCTGCCTTCCACCTTTCCTTCCCCACCTCTCTTTAGTCTAACAGACTAGAAACTGAATTAAGAATTGGCTAATGATAAAACAGAAACAGAAATTTAAGTAATGCCTGTTTTTAAATGCTGGGTCTACAGTTTATATATTAGAAGAATTTCACTTGGAAGTGAAATTCAATGGAAAAGCCTAAACTTATTCTTGGGAGTTATAAGCATTTTCCTAGTAAAGTTACACATCGACCCATTATCAGAACAATAACAGATTGTTAACCTCAAACTATCTTGTTCCCAAAAGTCCTAGTATTTAATCACTCATCAGATATTCAAAGACCCATGTTATGGTTTAGACACAAAATGTCCCCTATATAACATGTACTGAAGGCTTGGTCCCTAATGCAGCAGTGTTCAAGAGGCAAGGCCTTAAGAGGTGGTGGATTAGGAGGGCTCTGACCCCACTGATGGATTAATCTATAGATGAGTTCGTAGCTTAAGAAGCTTTTCAGAGGGAGGCCTAGAGAGATGGTGGATCTGGAGGGCTCTGATCCATCCACAGATTAACCTATAGATGAGTTCACAGTTTACAGGGCTTTTCAGAAGTAGATCACTAGAGATATGCTTGTGAAGAGAACATTTTGTACCTGGTCCCTGGTTCTCTTACTCGTTCTCCCCATCCCCATCTCTCTCATGTCTGAACACCATGATGTGAGTAGTAGCCTCCTGTGCCACACGCTCCTCTTGGCATGATATTTTGCCTTGCCCCAGACCCAAAGTATGGAGCCTGCTGACCTTAGATTGGAACCTCTAAAAGCATAAACCTTTGTTCCTTTAAGCAACTTCTCTGTGTCTGACAGCCTGCTAGGTGCTACCCTTTAAAGCACACCATAGGATCTTCTTGTCCACATATGGAGAAAAGAGAAAGTGCTTAGCACTGGCCACCCCCAAAGCATCATTCTGAGAAAACCAGTGTCAGGGTTGTCTTTATACGAAGTCATTACACTTTATTCCACTTGCTTTAAGTTAACTCTACCCTGCTCTCCTGACCACAACTAAATTGATCCAGGGAATGGAATCTCAGCCAAATACAATCGTAAGTACATTCAAGGTCTAAACAAAAAGCAGTCATCACTAGCCGGTGGACTTAGCTTGAGACAAATTCTCTTTAGAAATGCTTCCATTGTATTGTTATCCTAGATATAGAAAATTTAGGGAAAAAATGTAAATATTAGCTACATTCTAAAAACAGTTTATTGAAACTCATCTCAACAATTCTAGGGTAATGAATGAACTCTCAGAAGTCCCGGGACTCAGAATCTATCTGTACAGACAGCTTCCTCATTCCCCTCATTTGTGAAATAAATTCCACTACTAAAAGGATTTCAGAAAAAAGCCTACTAGAGCCTAAGCCTACATTAGATTAGTAGTACCTAAGAGACACAAGACAAAGGAATCTGACAGAGACAATATCTGAAACTGGGGGGAAAACTGCAAACAACAATTAATGAAGGTAAAATGAGGGTGAAGACGAAGGTCTCAAGGGATGTGAGACAGTTTTGAGGAAAAAAAAATAAGCAAATAATGGTAAGATTTAGAGATTCCTCTAAGCACCTCAGAGAAGCTTCCGCCAGGTATCAAGAGAAGGAAATACTGGACCAAAAATCAAAACCAAAGATGGTCTTAAAACACATATGCACAGACACACAAACACACATCCACAATAACCACAGATAGTCTTTAAACATACATATGCACAGATGTACATACACACAGACACGTACACACACACACAAAATCCAAAGATAGTCTTTAAACACAGATATGCACAGATGCACAGACACATACAAACAACCACATAGACACACATGCATACATGTACACACAAGCACATAAGTGTACACATGCACACACATACACACACACTCACATGAACACATACAGATTAATTACAGCAACATTTTTCTTCCTCACTGATTCTCATAACAGATGATAAAGGCTTCACGGTTACAATGTCATACCTGGTAGTATTTCACCTGTCCACTTAGCTGGTCCACGTGTTTTTCATACTCAGTAATAAGAGAAGTGAAAAAGCTGAAGAAAAAACAGAATTAAAAAAATAGCATATTTTGTTCCATCTAGTTTGTAAATACGGAACAAGAGAATAAATTCCATGTCAAAAAAGTGCCGAATGCCTCCACAAGAATCAGCATTGTTTTTAAATTTTAGCTCAAGAATATTTTGCACTGAAAAGTTCTTTGAGTATGTGTGCGTGTGTGTGGGCAGTGGGCAGGACAGCTTGAGTACTGTAGGAAGTTTAATAGCACCTCTGCCCTCTGCCATTGGATGCCAGCAGCAGCTTCACCCCACCCCCACAGACTGCTTGTTGAAACAAATTAAAATGCCACCAGATAAGTCCTGAGGGGATGGCAACACCTCCCAGACTCCACAAGACTTGTTTTCTCCTCTAGATTCAGAAGCAAATCCATTAAGCCCAACTAGGGCAGACTGAAATAAACACTCCTGTTTCTAAGGGAACCCTTCACTTGTAGTCCCTCTAGCTAAAAGAATGTGTTTCTGCTCAGACTGTACCTGTGGCTGACTGCTGAGCTCACGGATATGTCATCTCCATCTTCTCTGAGGACAGCTCTCTATAACAGAAAAGGCGTTTTAAAATGATTTTTCACATTGCTCTACCCTGAATTGATAGTTACTTAAATACAAATTTTTACAACCTTCTAATAATCTACTTAAGTGATTCAAAAAGAGTTAGAGAAAAAAAGCATCCTAATTGATACTGAAATGCACTTTGAAATTTTAACAGCCATACATGATAAAGACAATGCTTTGCAAATTAGAAATATGAAGAACTATTTTTAATTTGATACACTCTCTACCAGAAACCTACCATAATTACCATTCTTGAAGAATGGTGAATCAGCAAAAGCACTTTGTCAGTAACTTGGGCTGGGCCATGGCTCAAGTGGCAGAGACTGCTTAGGAAGCACAAAGCTCTGGGCTCCATCCCCACCATTGCAAAATAAAAATCAGTAATAATCCAAGGTTGCTGACTGTCACTGCTGAAATTCAACATCCCATGAATAAAAGTTCTAGTTGATATGGCCCAATGTAAAGGAGAAGTTATGGGTTGAAA